AATAAAAACCGTTTGTTTTCTACAAGTAGAATAACTGTTATGTTTAAAATCTTTACGAACGTCATTTTTTTAAGACGTCCCATTTGTCCTCCTCGGATCTTAATAAAAAGATAAAAAATAAAATAGACTTTTTTGTCACCTTGTTACGGTAAATGGCAGAGCTCAGTCTGTCTTAGAAGGCAGTACTTTCCTTCAAGACTGACGATGATTGTTTTCTACTTTCTGCTACTTTAGATCACCAAAGAAATCTAGAATAATAGCAAATATAGGTAATAATATGTTGAGACTCCAGAAGAGATTCGATCCTTAAGATGGTGCAATACTGTTTATCCGAGTGGAATTTCTTGTGACTCCATCCTGGAGAAAAATATCAGTTTTGCTGCTGTCATAAACACCTTTGTTTATAGATGTTGGAGATCGGCCTGTTTTTCAGTGTGGTCCTGTTTCTCTGACTGTGACTGGCTGGATGTGCTCTCTTCATCCTGAGATGGGATGCAAAAAAAACATGCTGCTTCTGTCTCCTTGAACCCCAGTCGGCCTCAGCAGATGGCCGCTCACACTGAGCCTGGTTCTGCTGGAGGTTTCTTCCTGTAAAATGGAGTTTTTCCTCTCCACTGTCACTACAAGCATTCTTAGTGTGAGGGATTGCCTTCGAGTCAATGAGTCGATGCAATCAACTGGTTTTCCTTAAATAGAAAACTTTGAATCAATCTGACTGGATAATCTGGTGAACTGTAAAGTGCCTTGAGATGACATGTGTTGTAAATTGAATATGTTGACGTCATAAGAAGGGGCGGGGCCCCGAGCAGATCTGGTACCTACACCAGTCTCATGTTGATGCTCTGGAAAGTTAAAGCTGTTCCTGAATCTATGACATTCCCCTCAGGGTGGAACTTGGGAAGCAGCTGGCGAAGAAGATCGAACCGGAGCTGAAGGACGCCTCCCCAGTCTCGACTCACGACTCGTCCACCAACGGCCTCATCAACTTCCTGAAACAGAACTTTGCCTAAGCCCCGCCCACCTGTCTGTTCCCGCTCTGTGATTGGCTGAACCACTGTGTTTTGAGTGTTAGCGAGTTTTCACCTGTTGCTTTCAGTGTTGATCTGTGCACATGTTCCTGTAGGCCATCCTGATAGCTCAGACTTTCACAATAAAAGCCCCGTCTGTCTGTCACTGATGTAGCTTGGTTCTTACGGTCTGATCCAACCAATCACTTCTGTAATCATCAAACACTGATGAGACGTGGCGACAGCTCATCTTCATATCAAACCCTGGATGATCCGAACTGTAATAGAAACGATTCTGAGGGGAAGAAAATGAAAACTGCTGCTTAGACGCTGATGCATCAGCCAATGATTTCCTTTCAGTGTCAGCTGATGCGTGCACCAACTCTCCGACTCATTGGTGCATTCAGCAGCCATGCTGAGATCACACGGAGCTCATTCATCGCCCCTCCATCCACTGCTAATATTTTATTTCATCTCATCTTTTTTTTTTGCTCAATATCGGACTTTAGAAAAATTCTGCATCTGCTTTTCGTTTTATCTCCTCTTCAACACAACAGCTCCATCAGCAGCAGAAAGTTAATCTAAAATTGGTGAGTTTAAGATGATAAAAAAAGCTCTTCTGGGACGTCCAATAGATGGAGAGCTTCAAGAGACGTTAAGCCCACTGCCGCTGGATAAAATGGAGAAAAAGTATTTGGTCGAACTAATTTGACCGTTAAATATTCCAAGATGCACCTTTTTATAAACGCAAGTAAATTTCTCATTGCTAGACGTCCAGAGGATTTAACTCCTTACCATGAAATTCCCACATCTTCCGCTTCATCCTGCCTGCGAAAAGCAACGCCTCTGCGGTTCCTCACGTCTTGCCTCGCTCTGACTTCCATGAGTGATATTAATTCATAGGAACACAATACGAGCTTAATGTAACAA